CCGCCTCCTCCGGTAAACCTTGTGGGCAGCTCAGCCAATCACAGCCAGGGAACGGTACAGCTCAGTTTACACTCAATGTGTTTATAGAGGAGTGTTTGGCTCGCAGCAAATCATTGCTCTCTGCTAAGAGTGAGGAACCATGCCTGAACCCGCCAAGTCTGCGCCCAAGAAGGGCTCCAAGAAAGCCGTGACCAAGACGGCCGGCAAAGGAGGAAAGAAGAGGAGAAAGAGCAGGAAGGAGAGCTACGCCATCTACGTGTACAAGGTGCTGAAGCAGGTCCATCCTGACACCGGCATCTCTTCCAAGGCCATGAGCATCATGAACTCCTTCGTCAGTGACATCTTTGAGCGCATCGCCTCAGAGGCTTCTCGTCTGGCTCACTACAACAAGCGCTCCACCATCACCTCCAGGGAGATCCAGACCGCCGTGCGCCTCCTGCTGCCCGGGGAGCTGGCCAAGCACGCCGTGTCTGAGGGCACCAAGGCTGTCACCAAGTACACCAGCTCCAAGTAAACTGCGCTACCAACATTACAACAACCCAACGGCTCTTTTAAGAGCCACCCACTGCCTCCAAAGAGCTATGATCCTACTTCCTCTATTGTTTTCATCTTTGCTAACTGATAAACTAATACATGCAGTAAATGGTGATGGCTGCTTTCCAAAAGCGCGCTGATCCTACTTCCTGTTTGCAAACTGTCCTACATTCACTTGTGGACATCAGTATTGAACAGGTTGTGAAAACGTCTGTCAGACAAATGCCTGCAGAGAATGGTGAGGGTTTGAGTACAAAGGGTGTGCTATGCACTGGCGGTTCTAGACCAGATGTACCAGGGGGCCAGGAGGGGGGGCAGTGTGTTTTCATGGTGGCACAGAAAAGCATGAAATAAAAAACCGGCCTAGGGACAGCATAAAGTGAAATTCCTATTTAATTAGATTAAACTAAAATAAAAAGTCTTACTGGATCAATATACATTCAAAATTTAGGAATTTTACATATTTTTGACTTATTTTAAGCATAAAATTAGTTTTGTATAAAATCTGAATTGGAACAAAAAAAATTAAAATCTTTTTTATTTTGAAAAACATTTGGCAGATGAAAACTGGGATCCTATCTCAATACCACAGCAGCTATCACCTTATTGTTTTTGAATAATTAGTAAAACAGAATTTGTAAAGGGGAAAAGAAATGAAATAGATCCAAAGGACCTATCAGTAACCATGTCTGTTCCAGTGCATATCATCATCAGAGTATTATGTCTTCAGTACAGGGGGCCATTATAGGGGCCAGGACATGATCTACGGGGGCACTGGCCCCTGTTGGACCCTGTCTAGAACTGTCTATGGCAGACTGTTTTATCATAAAAATCAACTTCTATCTGTCATTTTTAAGTTGTCAAACTTTTAACTAGGGGAAACTATGTTTTCACTATCCCAATGATGAATTTAGATATCTGAAACTATATTATAACTAGTGAAAATAACACTTAAAGATAACTTCACCCTCTTCTCACTGAGGGTGTTTCTTTTAGGGACTGTCAACAACTTCCTGAACCAAAGACTGTTGCGGAACAAAATCAATGTATCCCTTGTCTTGTGTCCAATTCTAACAAATCCAATGGTTAATCTTGCTACTATATTATATAAATGAGGAATATCCTTTTTCATTTAAAATCCTTTTTTCCTAAAGAGCTCCTGTTATTTGAACAACTGATCAAAATCTGTGTGAAATTGCTCTACTAGGCTGGTAACATTAGACACACTCATTTGTTTTGTTTTTTTCATTTTTAAGCCTAATTTTTTTTTTTTTTTTTTTTTTATAGCAAAATTACAGTTTTTGTTAAATAGCTTTTGGTCATGTAAACCTTTCTACTAAAC